TTTTTGTTTCATGTCAAAATTTCCAGAAATGGTCCGTATTCGAGAAATTTGACAAAATGTGCAAAATTCTGATTTTTATGAAAATTGTTGAACTAAAAGTTGTTTGCGATATCGATCTCTATAATTTTTGTTCATACATGATTTTTCTAAAATGGACCGTAATGAAAAAATTATAGGAAAAGCGCTAAATTTAATTTTTGTCCGTATTTTCGTTTTCAATTAATATCTATAGAAAAATGTTTCGAGGTAGATGTATGTGGAAAATGTATATATTTAGTTTATCCTCTAAACATTTATAGAGGTGCTGCAATAGGTTGTACAAAATAACCGGAAAAAGCCTATAATAACTAGATAGGAATGTGTTGGACACATCAGATTTTTATTAATATATTTTATTTGAGACAATTATATTTCCGCTTCTATTATTAATTTAAATTTACCAATTTATTATTTCTACCGTTATTCTAAGGTATAAAGATATATAGGTTGGCATAATTTACACATGATACTATAAAAAGAAGGTACGATATTACGTAGAATGATACTACTTCTTTGTAATGTAATGTGTTTTTTTGTTTTTTTGTTTTTTTGTTTTTTTGTTTTTTTGTTTTTTTGTTTTTTTGTTTTTTTGTTTTTTTGTTTTTTTGTTTTTTTGTTTTTTTGTTTTTTTGTTTTTTTGTTTTTTTTGTTTTTTTGTTTTTTTGTTTTTTTGTTTTTTTGTTTTTTTGTTTTTTTTGTTTTTTTGTTTTTTTGTTTTTTTTGTTTTTTTGTTTTTTTGTTTTTTTGTTTTTTTGTTTTTTTGTTTTTTTGTTTTTTTGTTTTTTTGTTTTTTTGTTTTTTTGTTTTTTTGTTTTTTTGTTTTTTTTGTTTTTTTGTTTTTTTGTTTTTTTGTTTTTTTGTTTTTTTGTTTTTTTGTTTTTTTGTTTTTCTGTTTTTTTGTTTTTTTGTTTTTTTGTTTTTTTGTTTTTTTGTTTTTTTGTTTTTTTGTTTTTTTGTTTTTTTGTTTTTTTGTTTTTTTGTTTTTTTGTTTTTTTGTTTTTTTGTTTTTTTGTTTTTTTGTTTTTTTGTTTTTTTGTTTTTTGTTTTTTTGTTTTTTTGTTTTTTTGTTTTTTTGTTTTTTTGTTTTTTTGTTTTTTTGTTTTTTTGTTTTTTTGTTTTTTTGTTTTTTTGTTTTTTTGTTTTTTTGTTTTTTTGTTTTTTTGTTTTTTTGTTTTTTTGTTTTTTTGTTTTTTTGTTTTTTTGTTTTTTTGTTTTTTTGTTTTTTTGTTTTTTTGTTTTTTTGTTTTTTTTGTTTTTTTGTTTTTTTGTTTTTTTGTTTTTTTGTTTTTTTGTTTTTTTGTTTTTTTGTTTTTTGTTTTTTTGTTTTTTTGTTTTTTTGTTTTTTTGTTTTTTTGTTTTTTTGTTTTTTTGTTTTTTTGTTTTTTTGTTTTTTTGTTTTTTTGTTTTTTTGTTATTTTGTTTTATGTTTTTTTGTTATTTTTTTGTTTTTTTTTTTATTTATTTTTGTTCTTTGTTTTTTGGTTTTTGTTTTTCTTTTTTGGTTTTTCTTTTATTGATTTTCTTTTTTTGGGTTTCTTTGTTTTTTTTGTATTATTGTTATCTAGTAAAATTCATAAATTTTTGTAAAAATCATAGTTATTTCATCTTAACCTTTAAATTAATTTTACAAGACACCGTAGTATAAAATACTTCGCCGTGGCTAGCCACATGTTAAAAATCATGGTAGTGACGTCATGGATGTGACGTCACGGAATTCGCAATATGACAGTTGTCTTTAGGTTAGTTTATCAATCAATTTTTACTTATTTTGTTTTGGAAGAGGTCTACTAATGAGCATAATAAACGATATAGAATTCGAATTAAATTGTGGAATTACATATTTTAAAGAAAAGAAAGTGGAAGAATAAGACAACCTTCTCCAATAATACACAATAACATAGTTTCTAGCTCTTGAGATATATTGTTTTCTTTTTGTTAACACATAATAAACTCCTGATGTAAGTAAGCTGTATTAAACCAAATGCCCTATTTACAAATACGAAATATTGGAAAATATCTGTTTAATGTAATATTAATATTTTATTAATCTCATTTACAAAAATTACAAACAAATCACTGTTGATTCTCCTAGTCATTTACAATCTATGGTGATTTGATTTTAAAATTACTTGTTATGTACTGATTTTTTAAAATATACCTGCCACAGTAGTAGAAAAATCTCAACTCACATACATATTAAAAGGAGATCATTCAAATACTAATGCTCAAAATTTTTAAATTGAATAATTTAAAATTTTATCCCATACTAAGTTTTTACTTTGATTATTGGTTGAGGCAAAGCTGATTTTTTACGAGTAGTTTAGTTTGCAGTGCATCTCAGTCTCAGCTGACTATTCCAAATTTTATCTCGGGTACTTATTTTACCTTTTTTGTTCTACTTGTGATGAAGATAACAACTTAATTTTATAGATTTATCCAGTTAGCTCATATTCCAGATTTGTAATGAAATAATAGAAGGAAACAAAGATAACTGAAGGTATATATTTATCTCAACCTTCTAGGTTTAGAACAAGAGATAAGTAAATATTAATAATGCTAAGATTGCACATTCAGAAAAGATTAATATAATGTAAATGTAGCCCTGCAGATTCTAGTCCATGATTCGGATTGATTGAAATTATTAGTAATCATCTACAATCTTGCCAGTCCTACAGACTTCTATGATAAACAGTCGGTTTGGTTTTTACTTTCGACGATTTGGCAACTTAATGTTAACAAAATAAGTAGGTACTGATTTTAGAGGCTTATTGTGTAAATGTTTCTATAAAGCCTGACATCAAACCTATTATTGTATTTACACTTCAAACTAGGTTTATGTTAAAACTTTCAAGTAAATGTTGTCCTATCTCACCAGTTACTAATCTTTGAGATAAGACAAAAAAATATGATGTGGCCAACACATGACTTTCCTGTAAAGTTATTAAAAATATTTTGAGAAATCAAAAACTGTTCAGAATATGAATTAAAAGATATTTTTATTGCCAATGAAAATACTTAAAAATTCAAATTTAGCAATTTTTTCATATTTATTTATTACAATATATTTTAGAGAAACTATATAACGAAAACATTATAGAAAATGACATCACAAACAACTTTTATTGAAAGAATTTTTTCTATAATCATAAATAACAGAAGTGTACCTTAACGTAGAAAAATTACCACTATAAAGTATCTCCAATGCTCAGACTATGCTCAAAATCTAGTCAGCTCTGCACAAGATGGATTAAATCCTAAGTTCTCTTTATCTACTCTTAAGTTATTGTGGATAAAGACACACAGACATCATTGCAAAAATGAGAAAAACTGATTCAAGGGACCCCAAAAACAAAGGTCAATCGAAAACTCGAAGTTGAAAAAAAATCACAATTCTTATACTTTTCTTACTTAATAAAGGAAAGTAAAAAATGTAGCTACATTCTTTAAAAATAACAAATTATTGTTTATCATAAACCATTTTTTAAAGTTGAATTTTTCTAAAAAAAATCTTGAAAAGGTATATAGGTACCTAGATATTAAAATAAAATTAGTCCAGAACAATACTAGTACAATAAAGATAAAACAAAGAATATTTTGTATTATGGGCTCATGGAATCTATTAATAATTAAAAAGGGGAGCTTTACATTAAAATACAAAAAAACTGCAAACTTGTAATGAAAAAATAGATTTATAAAATATAGAACTAAATTAACAAGACTTTTATCAAAGAAGCAAAGAAAAATAGGTACTTTCAAAATAAAATATATAAATAAAAATACCTCTAAATCTTGCAGAAACAAAGAAAAAATACTTATGGTAAAAATATTGTTAATTTATGTAACATTTTTTTTACAAATGTTGGTAATCATGTGCATTCAGAAATCTTATATCCTGAGTTCATGCCCATGCATGCAAAATATTCCTTGTTCTTCAGCCCCTTCGATCCATATTTTAATTTAGATGAGTAAAAAGTTCGAAATGTTACTAATGGAAAGCCTGTTGCAATGTTTTGTATATAAATTGTAGAAGGTAATTTACAATTTACCTCCGTTTGAGGTTTGGCAATCATCGTTATTGTGAACATGTTTTACAAATAAATCAAGATATATTATGTAAAATTCTGCAACAAACGACATCAGCACATAAAGGGTAATTGAATAGTAAGGTTATGTATTATGTATCGAGAAGTAAACAAATCATGACGTCATGAGTGACGTTTTACGTGTGGCTAATTTTTCAGGATCGCGGCACTCGCGGCAGGTTAACGTGTGGCTAGTCACGGCCAAAATACTTACTATAAACATAACCTCACTTTTCTAATAAATTAACCAAAGAGGACTGGTCAGTTTACATACTAACCTACGAGTTGATTATGATGTACTTATTACTACGAATATTAAGTTCACACCTTATCCGAATATTGTGGATAATTTGTAAACTAGCCAAAAACACCGGTTAATTTGTGTATTTTTCTTGTGGTTTGTAGTTTTTCGATAAATCTTGTATGTTATGTAAACTAGCTAGATGGTATACAAACCAACTAACATGCAATATACATAGATATTTCAGTAGAAACATGATTTTCCATCAAAATAGCCAGGCATTTGTATAGTTTGTACCCATACTACCTACCTAAAATATACACACTTAATGCAGCAACCATTATAGTGATTGCTTGTAGTAATGAACATATCCATCCCTATAGTAAAATATAAAATTAAGATATTGAAAACCTTTCAATATTACCTGGATTATAACTCGAAATACTCCTATTTTCCTGTTCCAATAATTTCTTTTGCACATAACGGATGAGGTTTACACAAAGACAGTGGATAATTTAGTTTATCAATTTCAGTTATCGCCAGTGGGTTTACAATGCCAGCCATATAATATATTGTAACTTAAATTTATCACTTTTTTATATAGAAATATACAAATATACGTTTTTTTTTCAATAGTTATGGGTATCGGCCTTAGCAGGGAAAAAGTGGAACCAAGTGAGGTGAGTAAAAAATATATTTTATTTTTTTGTTGTATTCCCTACGGGTTTTGTAGAGGTAGGGATGTACACATACAGTGTGTCACATTTATTTAAACTACAAGTGAAGCGGTTAGAGCTAAATTATGTGGTTAGAATGAACATTCAGATACGGTAAAAAAGGTGAAAATAAGTAAGCAATATAATCTATGATTTTTCCACGTCCAAATACGGAAAATAGGTAATATCTGGTTTTGAACATGTATAAGTGGAAATTCTATAACGAATATGTTAAAATTTAACGGACTTTAAAAATATAACGTATGTTAAATATGAAAAGCAATTCTGTAAATTCATGAAACATTTTACCTCGTCATAATTAATATAATAGTTCATTTGTGCCGCAAAAATATATTCTCTAAGCAGAAATGTGTTAAAAATGTAACCCAAATGTGTTAATTTTATGCGTTAAATAGTGAATATTAACAGGTACTTATTAGTAGGCTTTAAAACTTAACAAATAAGAAATTATGACTTTTGATTGTTTAATTCAACTTGTAATGCAAGAAAATCATAAAAATTAACCATTTTGAAAGTACTCAAGCAATTTTAACAGTTGAAATTACAAAATTCTATTTAGAAATTATATTTTATTTATAATGTATATAAACTTTGTCGTAGATGGGCACTATTATAAGGTTACTGTGGTTAGTTTTGTTTGTATTGAAAATTGATGGCCTACCAAATAGTTTATAAAGTACTTTTTTCAATATTCTTCTGCAAAAATAGACAGATACAATAAATATGACATTTATTTGATAGGCCTTAAAACTTAACCAAACTTTTATTGCAAATTTGAACTACTTTTAAAGTATGTTTATTTTTTTGAAAATTTAACATATGCGTTAATTTTATTTTACAGAATTACAATTTATGTTAAAATCGTAAAATTTAACACCCGGTAAAAATAAACGTATTGAATTACAGAATTACCACTATAGTATACATGTATCGCATAACGTATAGAAGTGCATAAAATACAGCAAGTGGTACTATGTGTACTGGGTGACAATTTGAAAACGAACAGCATTTAATATTTCTTTTCTTTAACTCATTACACAATGTGAAAATTTGACGAGACCCGTCAATTTAGTATTAAATATCAAGGGGGACAATTGTTAAGGTATTTGTTGCTGTATTAAATTCAACCCCCTCAACACCAGGACATCTACCCCTTAAATTTTAAATAACAACATCCACTAATTTTGCGATTTTTGAAATACGTAAATCTAGATAAGTTACATCTAGTTTTTTATTTTTTTTCCAAAATTAAAGTACTTAACCTAACGAATGTATGTAATTTATTAAACTTATTAAATGGGGTTTCACCATAACAGCCATTTCATAAAAACTATGATAATGAAGGTATAATTACATACTGAAATTCTTAACCTAACATTATTACTAGAGAACGAAATATATGCACCAAAATTTATAATATGCGCATAGTTTTTATTTAAATATGCTTATGCACGATTAAAAAGACATAGATATAGGTAGGTACTAGTAACAACTGTTTGCAAGATTTATTTGGGTAGAAGAAAAAGATATGTAGAATACATTGCATTATGTATATTATAATAGGAATATAAAAATAAACTTTTAACTAGAAATATAATAGGAATTTACTATTAAATATTTTTCAAAATTGACAATTAAAAAAAGTTGTAAAATTATGTTTAGATTTAGAAAAGGTCCTTTCAACATCTACTGATGTAAGTGGACAATACTGTAATGAACAAAGCCAACGTAAAACTTCTATAGAAAATTTACACTCAAATATTTTCTTAACTTCCCTTATTGCTTTGAATCCTTCATTCTTCCTTAAAGCTGCATTTAATTTTTGTCTAATTTTAATACCTATGTCACCAGGAACATTTTCACATTTACCGGAAACTGTATCAATCAAATCTATTGAATCGCTTAAACTTAAACTTTTTTTAATGAAGTTATTACATCAAGTTAAAAACGAAAATTAACTTTTATAAAAAGAAGTTGCTTAGTGGATCTTTTAATACCTCTGGATTGTCTTGTATGTCTAAAATTAATTCCGTAATTGCTGAAAAATGTCCTGCGTGGATTAATGGAGCTATATTCTGCATTAATCCATGTTCCCCTTCGGATAATTAGGGGCCTTAGGGACAACCCTACTCCTACCATTTTTTCCTTGTATAACTACACCCTTAAAGAAGCTTTTAAAAATATATTTTTTTTTTAAATTCGAAATTAGCTTATTTACTATTATGATAGTTTCTGTGACTAAATTTATTCAATGTACAAGGCAAGTAACATAGACCATAATAATTCGAATAAAATATTGTTAAGATGTGCCCTCACTTTTGTCATGCACGGTGCTGCGTCAGACACAAACCCTAAGATCTTCTATGATTGAATTGGATTTGGCAAAAATAATTCTGATAGAGGTTGAAAATAAATCTGGTTACGGTCACATTGTTAGTTTTTCCAACTATTTGAAGCGAGTAAATATAATTTTTCTGGTTCAACTTCTTTTAAGGCTCCAATCATAAGATGTACGATATATAGACCACAAGTATCTGTGCTTTCATCTTCCAGTAAAACTTTAACTTCTATTTCATTTTTTGTATATATTGCCTGTATATTTTTAGTGTAGATTTGTCAGGAATAGTGCGACCGAAAGTCAAAAGGTCGAAGGGAAAATGATCGAATCGAATTGATCGAAATTATAAATAGTTGAAAGTACAAAACGAATATATAATTGGTCGAAATTAAAAATCATCCAAAATACAAATCGCGAGTTGCTATGCAATACATAAAGTGAGAAAAATAAAAACCGAACTAATTTAACTAACCTGTGTGGCCTGGAGCCATTTAACTATCACTGGTTATGTAATTTGGATAAGTTTTAACGTAAACATATTTTGTGACATAACCTGCCATAGCTCTAGGCCGCCCAGGTTTGGACAATTGTATTATTTATTTTTAATAAACCCTATTTCTAATTTACTAATTTCGTAATTTAATGCTTTAGATCTTATACCATTTCTATCATAATATATCATTTCGATTATTAGTATCTTCGATCATTTGTAGGGGAGGTTGCCCAGATTTGGACACAATAGCAAATATTTTCCCAATTTTCAAATATTTAGGACTTATGAATGCACTGAGCGATAGCTATTTATAACTTGATCCTAAACATTGCTATCGAAAATATTAACATACGAGTATAAAGCAAACAAAAAAATATTTCTGTATGTATGTATTTGTCCAATTGTGCCTCACCATGGGGTACATTTAGACAGAGGTGGCGTACATTTGGACAATATTATTTTTACTTTATTTAAACCATTGTGTAAATAATTTTAAACAACTGAACCTATGAATATTTATTTTTTAAGTTAACTATCAAATAAACTTATTATTGGATGTTATATTGAAAAAATGAAACATTGAATTTTATGTAATATGCTTGTCTGTACGTTCCTTTGTTTTCTGGAGATTGAGGAAGTTTCGTCAAGATGTCAGTCCTAGGTAATGTGCTGATTATGTCATTTTGAACAGGATAGTAAAATCCACAGTTTGGTTTGAATCGTAAAAATTTAACTATTAGTTCATTGTGATAGTCATCTAGCTCTTTTACCAACACAAAGTCGCCCACGGTAACATCTTCATCATTTACAAGATCATTAATGTCCTCATATTCGTTTTGTAAATCTAAGTCAGAATCTGAGCTATAATTAATTAGACCGTCAGTTTTGACATTAGAAGTTGTTGCTTCCATATCAGAATTTGACGAGAAACTTGAATAAGATGACTTTTTCCTTGGTTTTTTCTTGTCTTCTCTCGGACAGTTTTTGGTTTTTTATTTTCACAAAGTTTTCTTTTTACAGTGTTGGCTCGTTTTTTCTGCAACCTCTATTATGTGCTTTTCAGGTGTATTAGTATAAATACGCGATCTTCCCTTCTTTCTAGAATGCCTGCTATTCTGTGTTGGCTGTAGTGTGGGAAAGGGTCGCATCTCATTCAGATCTACAAATTTTGAAGGTTGTGTTTTAGAAACTTTATTGATAACATTTGTTAACATATCTTGCATTAACTGAGTTATAAATTCCATGGTGTCTACCTCCTCTAAAACTAAATTTTCTGGATTATGGGTAAGATCTAAGTCGTTGATGCCATATTCCTCAGAAGCTAACATTGACCCTAGTGGTACGCAATTATTATCAGCTCGTGAATTTGTGGAGGGTCCATAGCTGAAAACTTCAGCAAAATCAGAGTCATAAAAATTAAGACTGTTTATTGGCCAGATTCCTGCTTTCATACATGATTTGGTGATATTAACGGGAGTAAATGATAGCAAATATGGCTTTGAGGTTAGTTTTGCAATATCGTATGTTGAAATTGCTTTGCCCGGATTCCTTAAAATATAATCAATAAAAGCGGACTTGCATCTGGCTTTGTACGGACAGTAGACACCGATGTCCAAAGGCTACATCCCGTGCGTGTTGTGTGGTGCAAAGGAAAATAATACTATGCCATTTTCTCGGCAATAATTAATTGCGTCAAGTGAAACATGAGTTTCGTGATTATCAAGAAGTAGGAGGATAGGATTATCTCGTGTGCTTTTCATGTGTTTCTGGACGTGTTCCAGTAACTTGACAAATACTTTTGCTGACATCCAGCCTGACTTCATTGCGTAACCACTTGCACCAGGTACAGTGCCGTATAAATAATGATCTTTCATTCTCACTCGGAGAAACACTTAAGGCCGCAGTATCACTGTATTTCTCATATAAGAAGCAAGGGTTCACCATTTCCGATTGCATTTAAATCCCGCTAAATGTATTAAAATTAATCTTCTACCAGCTTAAAGTATAAGGTTTGGACAATGAAATCTCCTATTTTTTATTTGTCCTGTTTATACACTGAATTTTAAAAAAAATCATAAAAAGTGATTTTAAAACCAGAGGCTAAAAAGTAGG